ATTATGGTGGAAAATAAGTATTTGGTCAATAACAAAAGTTTCTCAATACTTTGTTATATACCCTTTGTTGGCAATGACACAGGTCAAACGTTTTCTGTAAGTCTTCACACACTGTTGCTGGTATTTTGGCTCATTCCTCCATGCAGATCTCCTCTAGAGCAGTAATGTTTTGGTGCTGTCGCTGGGCAACACGGACTTTCAACTCCCTCCAAAGATTTTCTATGGGGTTGAGATCTGGAGACTGGCTAGGCCACTCCAGGACCTTGAAATGCTTCTTACGAAGCCACTCCTTCGTTGCCCGGGCGGTGTGTTTGGGATCATTGTCATGCTGAAAGACCCAGCCATGTTTCATCTTCAATGCCCTTGCTTATGGAAGGAGGTTTTCACTCAAAATCTCACGATACATGGCCCCATTCATTATTTCCTTTACATGAATCAGTCGTCCTGGTCCCTTTGCAGAAAAACAGCCCCAAAGCATGATGTTTCCACCCCCATGCTTCATAGTAGGTATGGTGTTCTTTGGATGCAACTCAGCATTCTTTGTCCTCCAAACACGACGAGTTGAGTTTTTACCAAAAAGTTATATTTTGGTTTTATCTGACCATATGACATTCTCCCAATCCTCTTCTGGATCATCCAAATGCACTCTAGCAAACTTCAGACGGGCCTGGACATGTACTGGCTTAAGCAGGGGGACACGTCTGGCACTGCAGGATCTGAGTCCCTGGCGGCGTAGTGTGTTACTGATGGTAGGTTTTGTTACTTTGGTCCCAGCTCACTGCAGGTAATTCACTAGGTCCCCCCGTGTGGTTCTGGGATTTTTGCTCACCGTTCTTGTGATCATTTTGACCCCACGGGGTGAGATCTTGCGTGGAGCCCCAGATCGAGGGAGATTATCAGTGGTCTTGTATGTCTTCCATTTCCTAATAATTGCTCCCACAGTTGATTTCTTCATACCAAGCTGCTTACCTATTGCAGATTCAGTCTTCCCAGCCTGGTGCAGGTCTACAATTTTGTTTCTGGTGTCCTTTGACAGCTATTTGGTCTTGGCCATAGTGGAGTTTGGAGTGTGACTGTTTGAGGTTGTGGACAGGTGTCTTTTATACTGATAACAAGTTCAAACAGGTGCCATTAATACAGGTAATGAGTGGAGGACAGAGGAGCCTCTTAAAGAAGAAGCTACAGGTCTGTGAGAGCCAGAAATCTTGCTTGTTTGTAGGTGACCAAATACTTATTTTCCACCATAATTTGCAAATAAATTCATTAAAAATCCTACAATGTGATTTCCTGGATTTTTTTTCCTCATTTTGTCTGTCATAGTTGACGTGTACCTATGATGAAAATTACAGGCCTCTCTCATCTTTTTAAGTGGGAGAACTTGCACAATTGGTGGCTGACTAAATACTTTTTCCCCCCACTGTATGCTTATGGACATCCGCCATACCAGTCCACAACGCCCTGGCAAAACCAAAACCGACTTGAAGGTAACAGAGCTCACTGTTGCTCCTATTGGCCGGTTTCTGCGTAATCTCCCCGACGTTCTCAGACATGGATGGACATCAAATACTGATTTGTATCACGGGTGACCTGTCTGAAATTCCCCTGTCCTATGCCCTTTTTTCTTTATATACTAAATCACATTTTAGTATAGGGCTAGGCTACTCCAAGCAATAACACAAATTGCATAGGCTACAGTCATTCATAGACAACTACTGTCTAAACCTGACCATCACAGAAGCAAATGGTAACAATTATGGCATGTGACTTGTGCACCTGCTCTCACTGTGGTTCGCAGTGCAGCTTGTTGGATCTCTCTCACACACACACAGAGAGACAGACAGACATTACCTTTTTGGTCTGGAATGTAATTGCATAGAATTCCTGTGACACAGAAATAACACTAATCGATCTCATCAAACAAAACAATGCATGTGTTATTTTTTAATAATAATTGAATATCTGTAATAAATCTCAAAGTATTCTTCAAAAACAAATCTCCATATTTTATTATATTTATAGATAACAAATACACTGAACAAAAATATAAACGCAACATGCAACAATTTCAAACATTTTACTGAGTTACAGTTCATATAAGGAAATCAGTCAATTGAAATAAATTCATTAGGCAGTAATCTGTGGATTTCACATTACTGGAAATACAGATATGTATCTGTTGGTCACAGATACCTTAAAAAAAAGTAGGGGCGTGGATCAGAAAACCAGTCAGTATCTGGTGTGACCACCATTTGCCTCATGCAGCGCAACACATCTCTTTCGCATAGAGTTGATCAGGCTGTTGATTGTGGCCTGTGGAATGCTGTCCCACTCCTCTTCAATGGCTGTACGAAGTTGCTGGATATTGGAGGGAAATGGAACATACCCGTCGTACGCGTCGATCCAGAGCATCCCAAACATGTCTGGTGAGTATACAGGCCATGGTAGAACTGGGACATTTTCAGCTTCCAGGAATTGTGTACTGATCCTTGGGACATGGGGCCGTGCATTATCATGCCCGAAACATGAGGTGATGGCGGAAGATGAATGGCACGACAATGGGCCTCAGGATCTCATAACGGTATCTCTGTGCATTCATATCAATAAAATGCAAATGTGTTCGTTGTCTGTAGCTTATGCCTGCCACCATGGGGCACACTGTTCACAACATTGACATCAGCAAACCCCTCTCCCACATGATGCCATACACGCTGTCTGCCATCTGCCTGGTAAAGTTGAAACCGGGATTCATTTATGTAGAGCACACTTCTCCAGCGTGCCAGTGGCCATCGAAGGTGAACATTTGCCCGTTGAAGTCGGTTACGACGCCGAACTGCAGTCAGGTCAAGACCCCGGTGAGGACGACGAGCACGCAGATGAGCTTCCCTGAGACAGTTTCTGATTGTTTGTGCAGAAATTCTTCGGATGTGCAAACCCACAGTTTCAACAGCTGTCCAGGTGGCTGGTCTCAGACGATCCCGCAGGTGAAAAAGACGGATGTGGAGGTACTGGGCTGGCCTGGTTACATATGGTCTGCGGTTCTGAGGCTTGTTGGACGTACTGCCAAATTCTCTAAAACAACGTTGGTTTATGGTAGAGAAATGAACATTCAATTATTTGGTAACAGCTCTGGTGGACATTACTGCAGTCAGCATGCCAACTGCATACTCCCTCAAAACTTAAGACATCGTGGCATAGTGTTGTGTGACAAAACTGCACATTTTAGAGTGGCCGTTTATTGTCCCCAGCACAAGGTGCACCTGTGTAATGATCACGCTGTTTAATCACCTTCTTGATATGCCACACCTGTCAGGTGGATGGATTATCTTGGCAAAGGTGAAATGCTCACTAACAGGGATGTAAACAAATTTCTGCACAATTTGAGAGAAATAAGCTTTTTGTGTGTATGGAAAATTTCTGTGATATTTTATTTCAGCTCATGAAACATGGGACCAACACTTTACATGTTGCATTTATATTTTTGTTCATACATGTTCTCACGTTTTTTTGTTTTTATCACATAAAACCACACACATTTATACGACATAATTGAACTTATTTCATTATTCTTTAATATTCATTTTCACGATATATGATAACGATTTCAGATATACATTCCATCTTTTTGAAACCACAATACACTACACATATGGTTTGATAATATTTCCACAGGACCGTTGGATTGTGCTGAATGAAGAATGTCTCTATGCACATTTCCTTATTTTTATGATCTCTTCATATTTGTATGATTCAGACACTTGATTCCGGACCTCGAATCATTCAAATGAATCTCGCAGGTATAGTTTACAAGTAAAATGCTTTATAATATGAAACATTAGGGGATAAAGTCAAATTTACAGTGTCCGAATTCCATGGTGTTCTTAATCACTTTTCCTCTGTCTGGGGTGAATATGGGTCAAGTGGTTGGGACTTGTGGGGCTAAAACGCCTTCTCCAAACGCTAACGACACAGCCTATTACTTCACAGGCATTTGACGTTTTTTTTTTTTTCTTCATCCCAGTTTCATAACCTGTGCGATATGTTTTTAGGCCTAACCATGTGTTTCAATGGTTATTCAAATATCCAAAAACACGTCTTTCCTTACTCAGGTTGTGACCATTGTCTTTTCCGCCTCCTAATTCCATAATGCTTTTCTTATGTCTGAATATCATACATTCAATGCATAGTTAAAATAGTTGTTTATAATGACTAATACTGTTTCAATATAGCGCTTGGAGAGAATACAAATTACTTCTCAATAAATCTCCAAGATATTTGGGATATTCCTAGTATTCATTAACACACTATGTTTCATCATCCACTATATGTACTCTATTTACGTTGTCTTGCTGGTAGCCTATACTTTATTTATATTAGTTGCCATCGTAATAGGTCCACATTACAGTATGTCAATGTGTTAATTAATAATCACATTCACTGCCCATTGAAACACTGCAAATCATGTAGAAGAAAGTGGCATCACATCAAACGCACAACATTATTTATACCATTTAAGTCACGATGCCGTCAAATTGTTGTCCAAAACCACATACTTGAATTTCAAATGAAATGTCTCTCAAGGTGGGAAACCACCACGGAGAGATGAAGAAACATGTCCCATTTTGCAATTTTGTTTAGGTCGATTGAACTATTGTAAACCTTCGCTCCACTGAAAAATATGGATATGCATTTTGTTCTCATATTTATACATTACAAGTTGAATTGTCCATATCATATTTTGACTCTCTCCCCCCTGTGTGTGTGTGTGTGTGTGTGTGTGTGTGTGTGTGTGTGTGTGTGTGTGTGTGTGTGTGTGTGTGTGTGTGTGTGTGTGTTTGTGTGATGAGTGTGCGCAAATGTGTGCTTGCACTGCATTTTGTGCAAGTATTTATTTCACATGAATTCTGTAAGCAAGGATGGGCTGACTGCGCTCAGTGGGGAATTCAGTTATACACAATAAGGGGATATGCAGTAACATCTATATCCAGTAGATCGTGGCTTGGCTAATCTTCTATGCCATACTTGTAAGCTTCTACGAGTCCCTCCATTGAGTGGATTAAACCAGAGATGGCGCATATACCTCCTATTACAAATATGGCGACATCAAAGAACACATGGTGCCATAGCAGCTTTCTCCATAGTAGCTTGAGGTGGAAGAGGCTGGGGAGCAGAAAGCATAGCCCCGCGCCCGTCAGGCTGCCGGTCAGACCCATCAGAAGAGCAAAATGCGGTACATAAATGGCCATGAACAACGTGAACACCACAAGGGCGCATCTGAGAGTGAGGCCCCATGCTTTCAGTCTTCCATCGCCTCCATAGCAATCTGGGAACCATGTGCGTTCTCGTTCACAGAAGAATGATTTCTCCAATACTTCAACCGCAGCGAAGAATGGCAATGGGTATGACAGTAAGGCTTTGGCCACTAAGAAAAGGTTCACAACAGCCCTGATGGTTGACGGCAGGTTGTCGGTGATGACCTCCTTGGTGGCATCCGCCCAGGTCAGGTAGGCCAGAAGGGCGAACAGGCCTTTGAGGACGCATGCAGCGATGTGGGTCCAGTTCATCATGCAGTGGAACTCGCTGGGCTTCGCCATGTTCCCCTCGAGTGACGGTAGGAAAATCTGAGACGTGTAACTGAACACGATGATTCCAATAGAAATGGGGAACTTCTTCACATCGATGTAGAATTTGACTTTGTCCCAGGCCCAGTCGCGCGCTCTGGAGAGGCAGTAGGCTATTACCAGGATGTTGATGACGAAGTGCGCGATAGTGCACAGCAAACTGAACTTTGACACGGACTTCAGGTTCTTAAGGAAGGCGCAGGGCAGCAAGGCTGCGGTGGCCACGATGGCCCAGGCCTTCTGTGAGATGGGGAGGGTGGGAAAGCTATTGTACATCAGGTTCCCGCTCACAACCACGTACAGGATGCACGTCATCACCAGCTCAATGATCTGGGCTACATTCACGATATGGCCACCTAAAGATGGAAACCTCGGTTGACAACATGCGTTTGCAATGTCCACGTATGAGTCCCTTACACGCACCAGTTGGCCGTCTTCATCCTCCTCGTACAGGCAGGCGATGAGGATTTTCCCCGTGTAGCAACACACGACGGCGGCGAAAATAATGAGAAACAGTCCGAGATATCCCCCGTGGAGAATGGCGTATGGTAAACCCAGAACAAACATCCCCTGAAAACATACAATAAGTTATTTATGGGCATAATAACCACGTCAATTCAAGATAAACATTTACAAAATGTAGCCTGGTGTTTGTTGATAATAACTAAACAGGTTGGAGATGGGTGGGCATAAATATAGGATTGCCAATTAAATAATATTTTACAAAATTGAGCATTTGTTGAATGACTATTGCACTTTAAATAGGCCTACATGCATTATGCATTATGAGATAGTGTGTACACGATTCAATGGGTGACATGCTTGCTTGTTGGTGTGGGTTCTGGTGGGCATTCCATTTAGCTGTGAGCGTGCTCTTTCCAGCTAATTTTGTCGTCATCAATAGGGTGAACGAGACACGTCCTGATGTAATGGTGACTGTCATGATGATGATCATAGCCTTAATAACGCATGATGGGAGGGCGTTTGTCTTGGGGACTTTTTTGCGAAATACACTTCAACGGTCGCCCCAGACCCGTTATTACACTGTGTAGCCAGGTATTACAACTTTGTAGGTGATAGACACGCATAGCCTGTGCTTAATGCAACGATGAAATGAGCTATAGACTAGCTATAAAGTATATGATAGGCTATCGAGGAAAGCACAGAGTAGCATAGTTTAGTCTATATATCTTAATGACCTTGACGAAATGACTATCTAGAAGGTCACCTGTCGATCTGAAGGGGAGATTCAGTACTTTCGAATAGTATAACTGCTGCTTGAATGCGCTCCAGATCAACAGAGCCAAGCTCGTGCGTAAACCCGCATCAACAGATCAGTACGCCTCATTTTCTTCTATCAACTGGGAGTCCATGGAATTAGAATATTTGTGTTTATATCCTAGATATTTTATCATTATTCTCTAGGCTATGTATATGGCTTCAGATAATGAAATACAACAAAACATTACGTTTTTCGCCTTGGTTAACCTCTTATTGTAACAGCGTGTAGATTATCCAGTTTTTTAATAGGTTATTAACCTTCCCAAACCACAGAAATGATCTCCAAATACCCTAATTCATCTCCTAATCCAAAATCAAAAGGTTGTTTTTGTGTGAATTGGGCTCGGGCTAATTGTTTGAATTGATATAACAAACCCTTGGAATAATAGTGTCTCTAGACATCCGGGTTGCCTCCCACAATTTTTAAATGTTCCGGCTTAACACAGTCACTGCTGTTGCCTAGGGTCGGGTTTACGAGACTGTTGGAACATCGAATGCCTGAGCCTCCATTTGCCTTTTCACGAGGGATTTGTGTTCGCAATCAATTTGGCTTGACTGAAAGAAAATCTATTTAGGCTTACATTTATTTACATTTGGCTAGCCTATATATGGCAGGTAACACAAAGTAATGAATGAATGAATGAGTGGGAGAGGACACCTGCAAGCGCCATGCTGTTTCAATTATGCCTCTTTACCTGGATTGCATTCGTGACATTCCAGCCAGCTTCCCAAGCCGTGATTTTCGGTGATTTTTCTTCTTCGCCCAGACCTGAGGCTTTAGAAGCGGAGAGCGGAGGGCCGGTGCCATCTCTCTGGTAGTGGCTGTCCCCACCCGCCATTCCATCTTCTCCTCCACCCATCCCACCCTCTCCACTCCCCTCTCCAGCGTCACCACCACCCATTTCATCCGATTTCATGATGTCCATCTGCAGTCCTTGCCGGTGGTCGTAATCCAAATCATCGCAGGCGGCGAATCCCAGCCCCTCCTCGTCTGTGGCGGCCTGGAAGCCCATCCTGGCCATCATGCCGCTCACCTTCGCGGTGGATTTATTCGACACGGAGGTGGCCGCATTTGACAGTTTATTTTGAAACTTGCTTCGGATTAAATGTGCCATTGTTGCGTTCTCTGTCTACCTGTCGGTGACGTTTTTTTTTTTTTTTTTTAATTCAAATACAATAAATAGCCAACAACTAGAGTGCAGCTCTGTTTCTGGATATGAATAAAACTAGGCTATTGTATGGAAGGTGGTTTTATAAAGCCCTGATGGTTGTTCAGTTGTTATCTCCACTTCTTGATCAAAGTACGCATTCTGTTCTTGATCATCCCCAGGTTCATTTCACCTTCAGACGTCGGCTCTCCGTCTTTGCATCTTGTGACTGCACTCTAGTCTTTAGCTCGACGAAAACGTCCGAACTTGATGCACGGTTTTTCTAGGATTACGCAAAATTGCGCGTTGCAATTTTTAATATTCAGTTGGTTTATTGATAATAACGGTTGCAGCAACGCTTCCACAGTTGGTTTTCCTTGGCCGTTACTGAGGCCAATGCAGTATGCTGGAGCTTGAGGGTGGCAAGGAGGAGGCACGTGTCATCATCAGCCTGCCAATGCAAGGACTACGCTTCGTGAAGCACTTCTCCAGCCCCCAGCGCGCGCAGCCACCCCACAGAAGAAAACGGGAGAGATTTGCTGCATTTCTAGGGGAGGTGCTTGCGGTACCCTGTCCCCTCCCCACCCCCATATTCAACAAAACTTCATTCTAACATCCAATGACATTCTGGAGGCTTTGAGTCTTGCATTACGTTACGTGTATAAAAGGAGCTAGGTGGAAACTGAAGGGAGAAACCCATCAACTCGTTGGACCGGGTTATGTAACTTTCAGACTAGAATTTGACAAACATTTTGTTGTGTGACCATTAGTTTTTATTTATTTTTACGACAAGTGGACGCCCGTGTCTTCTGTGGCAACGATAGTTGATGTGCCTAGCCTACTGGAATTAATATGGATCGAATTTCAAATTATTTGTCGTTTATTCATGAAGAAAATGCTTATTTTATTGTTTCGTTGTTTAAAATAGGCTATCGATGGTAAGGTGGAAGTTAATTCCATGTAGCCAATCGAGAGAGAAAAACATGTTTTTTGCTATTGATTTAAATTCTGCATTATTTCTCAGGCTTGCATTTTACGCACCAAAACTTCTCCATTCGTTAGAAGAACGCCGGTTTTCTTTATAGGCCTACCTTAGGCCTATATCTAAATCGAAAAATAATATAATTGATTTTGTTTCTAAAACGGAGCCAATAATTCATTTCGAAATTGGGTATAAAACTGCTGCATTTTTCAGGATAAATGCATTGGCTATAGCAAGTTTTATTGTGTCCGTAAAGTACGTCATCAAGATAATATTTTGTCTGAAGCTATCTACTTAATGTGTTTTTAATTTACCTTTTGATTGGCAGAACTATAGCAAACTATTTATTTGAGATTGATATGAGTTGGAATTTAAACAGTGTAAGGGGATTGTAGGCTTAAATATGGGATCATCTCCAGGTTTATTGCTATACACGTGGATATGGATTTTCCTTTTAACTAGGCAATTTTTTTATTTTACTTTTATTTTAGTCATTTTAGCAGACGCTCTTATCCAGAGCGACATACAGTTAGTGAGTGCATACATTTTCATACTGGCCCCGCGTGGGAATCGAACCCACAACCCTGGCGTTGCAAACGCCATGCTCTACCAACTGAGCTACACGGGACTGTGGCTATAAATATTAAGTGAAAGTATTGACTCCTGCATGCAGAGTCCAAACAGTGTATCTTTTTTATTGTCATTTTCAGATAGTATACCACATCTATTTAATAACTTTAAATAACAACATGTAGGCCTAGTTTGTAATAGTCTTAATAACAATAAACGAATAACTTGCCAGAAATAGTAATTCCAAGTTAATTTAAAAGTAATACTATCTAAGAATATTTTGATATAACTGCTCTCCTGCTTAGGCCTACCCATGCAGTGTGCAAGGAGCGGACGTCGCAGAAGCCTGCAAATAGGAGCGAGCTAAATGTCTAGCTACATTTTTACTATAGACCTACAGCAAGTCACGCCAACAGCTTTTAATTTCTCACGTCACTGAACGTTTGCGTGTGCCGCATTCCAGTGTTTCCCGGGGCCAAAATAAAGAGTTCATGTTAGAGCGTGACACAGACTCTAATTCCTAGGATGAGTTTAGTTTTCTAGGCCTATTACTATTTTCCATTCAACCTATTTGGTGCTGAATGAAATGTACAATTTGATTTGGAAAATGCTGTGTAATTTAGGTGACTTCCATTTAAATTATTTGACAGCTCTTTTTGGCGTTCTGCCGTGGGAACATAGGACGATGCTTCTCTCTTAGCTCCAAGCTATAGGCCTGCGTTTGATTTTAAAATCCTCAGAAATGTCCTATTTTCAACCGAGTGACTGTTGATATTCTGAGATTTTAAACCGCATGTTGTTCTGGGCATGGGGGAATTCATTCATCAGTTAGAGGACTAATAATGTCGACTAGATTGGAGCGCTTTAGTCTTTATACCCTTAATTGGTGCTTTGTTTATTTTCTGATTGAGGTTCAGCACCCAGCGCAGATAAACAGCGACTGATCGACGTCGCCGATTTGGTTGTTTGAGTCCTGAAGGAAAGCATGGATGGGTTTAGCCTATTTTTGTAGTCTGTCTGCTGGACTATATTCAGTGGAATACAAACCCACTGAAGGCTCCATGTAGCAGCTTACCATAATATGTTCATTTTAGCCTACAGCCCAGTTGCCAGGTGCATCTTGTTCCTAAAAAAAAAATAGACGACACTAAAACATCAAACATTATCAGGAAAATACCTTTAATACATCTTATAAAAAACAATTGTTAAAATATCCCACCAGTGATTGGCAATTTTATACATATTTAAATCTTAGGATGCCATCTCAATTCCCACTATTATGGTTTAAAATGTAGCCTACATTCCCCCCCCCCTAAAATACCAGAGAAAGGGGGGTTTACACATTGCACGGCAAACATAAACGGTATTTTCTGCTTTGCTGAGAGAGAAGGCAGTGATATACACGCGGTCCCCAGAGTGAGTGAAGGGGTTAATCACAGGCAGGGTTATCAGCCCGTCCAGACCTCCTCTGATATGTACTTACGACTGTCTGATTGAATGTCCTGTAAAATGAAAAGAACAACCATGACACGAAAAGAAAGGGGGGTTACAGCGCTGAATTTAAGGTCGCTACACACAGCAAGACTTGCTTACATAAAACGACATTGTTTATTAGCCTATTATTTATTAATGATATAATTTTTCTTTACATTTATGAAATGAGCAGAGACTCGTTTTAATCATATGTGTATTATGAAGAATATAAGTGAAATTGTCAAAACAAAAATGTTTATACCTGCACTAAAAGAAAAGCCCAGTGCAGTCAAAAACGTGATTTTCCTGTGTTTTATATATATTTCAAAACTATGAGGTTGGAATAATACTGTGAAATTGTGAAGATTATGATAATGCTATTTTAGTGTAAGAGCTGTTTGAAAAGACCCCCTGACATTTCAGCCTGTTTTGGTGGGATGGAGTTTTGGCCTGCCTTGTGACATCACCAGGCGATATATTAATTAATAGACCAATAAGAAAGAGAGTTCCAAACATATCTGCCAATAACAGCTAGTTTTCAGTTTTCCTCTCCTCACTCAGACCACTCCCAGACAGTCCTAGCAAAATTATTGGCTGAGAAATTGCTCTTTGCTAAGAAGCTATTTTTGTTTCTTTTTGACAATTTGAATTGAAAACAATTACAGTAAGGTACTTCATTGTTACCCAGAAATTATTTGATATAGAAATAAAAACGGCTGAATTGGACCTTTAATATCGTGGTATTTTGTGTGATGGCAGGACTATGCAGGTGCAAAACCCCAAAACTCATCAGTTAACTTTAATGGAATTCGCAAATGAAGATCGAGTGAATCTGAGAGCACGTTGTCTCACTGCGTGTATCTGTCAGATTTTTCCCACCACCATCCAGTCTTTAGATATGGCCATGCAGTTATTTTGCAGCTATACCAACCTGTACATAATATTATATTTTAATCGTGATAAATATAATCAGCAATTCAATGTGCCTATATTAACGTGTGTGTGTAGGGGTGTGTGTGTGTGTCTGTGTCTGTCTCTGTGTCTGTGTCTGTGTCTGTGTCTGTGTCTGTGTTTGTGTGTTTTGCTCACCATCTTTTGTTTTATTCGAAAATATTAATGGTCTCCTGTTGAATTGCATGTAGGTGAAAGTGATTTTATTCAGTCATTTCTCAGTTTATCACCTATCATTGAAGGCAATGACGGGTGAAGATGTCAGGTCCCAGGAGGATTCTCAACTATTAGTTGTCACACTGAGAATACAGATTAAGTGAAGATTGCCAATAAGCGCTTGTCTCATATCGCAAATTGCCAATCCGGTTTGATGCTCTATTGTTTTTTAAGCACCCTTATGTGTTGTATAGGCCTAACAGGGATGGGGAAAAAATATTCACAAGCCATATTTTTTGCATGATGGTGGAGTCAATCGAAAGCTCACCCATTGTGATTTTGCTGTCTCTTCTCCTCACATCCATTCACCGGTGGGTCTCTAGTCCCCCTCCCACCCCAGTTTCACCCTCGGCTCTGCAGCAGTCTGCTCGGTCCTTTTCCCCATTACACACATGGCTGAGCTGGCACAATTGGTTCTTTGGCTTCATGCCCCTCTCCTCCTCCACGAACCACAAAATGACTCATTGGTACAATAGAAGCGATTATGTTTGTAGAGATTGAAGAGATTATGTTTGTAAAATATCCTTAGAAGTGGTTGAAATATAACCCTACCCAACCAAAACATGTAGGCTATGATAGCAAGCAATGCCACAAATAGTTTAGTAAAATAACAATCGTATAATTTACATAAATAATATATTTTTCTCAAGTGTGTGTGTATTAGAGAGAGAGAGAGAGAGATTCTATAAGAAAGTGTGTGAACCACCCTTGTCTACTCTGTACGTGCGCCGCGGGCACGTGAATCAGTATGTATGGTGTTGGGAGACTCCTACAA